TCCTTGGTTTATAGATGGACTTCTCTTCCGTGTCTTCACATCTTCTTCCCTCTGTACATGTCTGTGTCCAGATTTCCTCTTCTTAGAAGGATGTCAGTCATTTTGGTTTAGGGGCCCACTCGAATGACCTCATTTTAATTTAGTTCCATCTGTAAAGACCCTGTCTCCAAATACAGTCACATTCTGAGACACTGAGAGTTAGAACCTCAACATATAAATTTCGAGGGGAATGCAATGTATCCCATAACCGTTCTTTCTCTTTCTCAAGTACTATACACTCTTTCCTACCTCAGGGCTTTTTCATAAGCTTTTTTATCATCATCACATGGCGAACCCCTTCTCTGCTGTGTCAAAAAATGTCACCTCCTTTGAGAAGCCTTCCCTGACCACCCCCATCGAGCTAGCCATGTTGCCCCAACCCATGTCATTTCTTTCATTATGACAAATCGATATATGGTAAAATGTATAGATCTTTAGTGTACAATTTGATGAGCTTTGAAGAGTGTGTATACCCTTGTAACTACCAGTCCAATCAAAATATAGAACATTTTTATCACCCCCAGAAAATTCTCTCACGTTTCCTTTTAGTCAGTCTTGCCCCCATAGGCAACCACTTCTCTGATATCTGTCACCATAATAGGTTTGCCTGTCCTTGAACTTCATATAAATGGAATTATTCAGAAGGTGTGCTTTTGTGTCTGACTTCTTTCACTCAAGACTCATCTATGTTGTTGTGTGTATCAGTGGTTTATTCTTTTTTATTACTGAGTACTATCCCATTGTATAAATATAGTACTATTTATTTATTCATCATCCTATTGTTGGACATTTGTGTTGTTTCCAGTATCAAGTTAGTATGAAAAAAAACTCTGCTATTTTCATGTAAGTATTTTATGAACATATATTTTATTTATCTTGGACAAATATGTAGAAGTAGAATTTCTGGGTCATAGGGTAGGTATGTTTTAACTTTTTAAGAAACTATAGTCATATTTTCAAAGTATATGCACTATTTTCCCTCCCACCAGCAGTGTGGTAGTTCTAGTTCTACTCTTTAACCTCACCAGCATTTCTTGTTATGAATTTTTTTAATTTTAGCCATTCCACTGAATGTGAAATGATTTCCCTTATTACTAAGGATGCTGATCACCTTTCCCTGTGTTTATTGGGCATTTATGTATTTCCTTTTGTGAAGGTGTCTTTTCAAGCCTTTTGCCCAATTTTTAGATGGAGTTGTCTGTCTTTTTGTTATTCATCTATAGGAATTAATTATATTTTCTGGATAAAAATCTGAATATATTCTCCTGACCAGTAGCTTGTCTTTTCATTAGTTGTCTGATAAGAAACTCATTATGACCTAAAACTACAGAATGTGCCCCAGGACCAGACAATAGGACCAGTTGTGCTGGAATATATTTTAGAAAGAAGATGCTTGGAATTCCCAGCAGGGCTGTAATTTCTTTCAGGTTTATTTCTGTGGTGTTTCAAAGAGAAGCTGAAGTCACATGGGTAATTAGCCACTCGTGGACCAGCCTACATATGTGGGACTGGTTTGGTCTTTTGAAAGCAACACTGAAAGAATTGTAGACACTTGCTCTATCCAATGGCCGTCCTGAAGCACAAGACCAGGGGCCCATGTGTTCAGGTGTGGAGAAGGGATGGCTTTAATGTCTCCCAAATACTGTGGCCTTGGCTGCTGAGTTATGATATGCCATAACTACCTAAAACCTTAAATATGTGCATATCCTCTAACCCAATAATTCTACATCTAAAAATTTAACCTAAGGATAAATTCGTGATTACATGTAAAGTTCTAATCACAAGGATGCTTATTCCAGATTTGTTTATATAGTAATATATTGGGAAACCACCTAAAATAGTGGACTGTTAAATATATAATAATCTAAATACTCCATATATTAGAATGCCATGAAATCATTAAAGTTATTCCCTATAAATACATATATTTATTGACAGAGACTTTTGTTTATGATATTGTTAGGTAAAAAAAGTTTCAAAAATGTCATATAATCCTATTTCTTTAAAACCTTACATATATGTATAATATGCATATATATATGTACATGTGTGTATGTTCTGTTTATAAAAGCATGACCCAGAGAGCTCAGTCTAAGAGAGTATCTAACTCAAAAGAAATAAGCCAACAAAAGTAATTTTAAAGTAACATTACTCCTTTACTCATATTTTTCATGCATGTGAAGGCAAAGATATCATGCCCAGTAACGCTATTTAAATGTCCTTGATTCTTCTCCCATTCACATGCTGTAGCTGCTTCTGTGCCTCTCTCAAAAATCCCACTAGGAAATCTTGCAGCCCACACCTCTTCTGCCTCTCGTTGCCCACCCTCACTCCTAGTCTCCATCACACACACACACACACACACACACACACACACACACACACAGCATGCGGCCCTCCCTGCATGGGGAGCAGGGGAGAACTGACCTGGGCCGAGCCAGCACTCTCTCTCGGGCCTGTGGTGGGAGGAGGGTGTTGGCAAAGCTCCAGCACTCGGAATCTTCCTCCCATTTCCTGTGCACAGAGAACATCCAGAAGGACATGCACAAAGGTCAGATGTTAACCGTAGTGACTTCTGGTGGTAGGATTAGATTTTCTTTTGCTTATCTGTGTTTTCTAATTTCCTACCATGAACAGACATCCCTTGATTAATTTTTTAGAATTTTTATTGAAGTATATCTTAATTAATTTACAAAAATAGCTTTTTCAGTGCTTTTCAAGAGTATGAAGTCAGAGCAACTAGTATGGTACTTTTCAAGTTAAAGAGATGTAAAAATATATTGTCTGTCCAGATCTGGCCCCGACATTGTACCCACCAAGCCGACCATCCGCCGACACTGTGAGGTTTGTCTTTGCTCCTGTCTCCTGCTTTCTGTCAAATACAAGCAATCAGCAGTGAGGGAAATTCATGCAAGAGGCAGTGAGTGCAGTGGCTGCTGAGACGGGAGCTGAGAGCTCTAGGCTCCGCCACTGCCCGCCTCTGCATTACTTTGAGTAAGTTTCTCAACCACTCTGGCCTCAACCTCCTTATCTGCAAAATGGAGCTTGAATAGTCTCCTAAAGTCCCTTGAAAGTCAGTCTTTGAAATTCAGTTCAGAATATTCTATGCATTGTGAAGAAAATTCCTATTGGGAGTTGCATTCACTCCTAGAAGATATTTCCAGGCAAAATCTCAACAGGCAGATCGGCCGGCCTTCAGGGAGCACATGTCCCAGACAGCGACCTCAAGCCTTTCCCTAAAGAACCCCTAACAGCAGAACTCCAGCCCAGAGTTGGGGGCATGCACCCAGGCATGAAATGTCTTTGAGTTCTTGTTTATTATCACAAAGGTGATTTTACATTCTACACCATAATCTATCCTTGCTTGTGTTGATATAAAAATAGTACAGCATTTTAAATTACTTATTGTAGATGTTTGTTGATAAGTCTAGACTTGAAGGCTGATGGAGAGCCTCACTTTTGATCTTGAACTCTATAGCTAAGTCCTAACGCTGGATGATAAGATTATAGGAAATATGTATTCTCTTTGTACTTTCATATTTTTGCTTTCTTCTCTAATGAGCATGTTTTAATTTAATGCTAGAGAAAAGTAAATACATGTTTTTAAAAATGAAATATAACACAGTGCCGATCTTTGTGTGTAATATTTAAGGAGGGAAGGACTTTCCTTTATGAATGAGTTCCCTAATGACATTTGCTTGCTGTGCTCATTTCATACATACAAGTGCTTTATACATGGTAATTACATGAGAAATATATGCAGTTGAATGAAGTAATCATAATGATGATTTATGATAGTGACAGAAACTACTATTACTGTGTTTTTACCTGTGCTACCATTCTAAAATCTTTACATGTATATTTATTTAATCCTTACAAAACCCTTTAAGACAGTATAATCCTCATTTTACAGAAGAAGAAACTGAAAAGTTAAAGTAACTTGCCTGGTTGGAACATCGTTAATGCCCTTTTATCTTCTCTGTGCTCCTTTTAGATCTGGCCATCGTGGTGGCAATGCAGCAATCTGCCAGTGTCACCTTAGCAGTCTCTTATCTCTTATGTTTTACATTCTTGCACTCTGAGACTTGTGCACATGCCAGACCAGTGGAATTAGCTCCTACGGGTCCCCACCTAGCAGTGGCACAGAAGCCTCAGAGCAAAAAGCAGGCACTTGCTTAGCAAGCATTCATTAGTAGGCAAGCATGAGATCTCAGTGCAGCTCTGAAAGCTGATGAAGTCCTAGCTCTTTGCCCCCATAGATACTGAAGCTGCTCCTTGAAGGAAAGGTTCAGTGGAGGAAGGCAGGGGAACATTCTAGATCAGTGGATTTCAAACTTGAGCAGGCATTAGAATCTCCCGGAGGGTTTATTTTATTAAAGCGTGGATTGCTGGGTTTCACCGTCCCCCCCCCCAGAACTTCTGATTGAGTGTGCACCACACTTTGAGATCAGCGATCTAGAAGCAGGATTTTTGTCACTCTCTCTGATAACTGGCATCAGGCCACCAGCGATTCCCTGATCAATGGCTGGACTCACAGCCATTTAGAGAGTTAGTCTAGAGTCTAGAGTGCCATCCCTCTGGGTGTAGACTACAGGACACTCCAGATTCTTATACCCAAGGGCATAAGGGCAAAGAATGTCTCTAAAAGATTTTAGGAAATGCCATTAATTCCATCAGTGAAATCCATTTCTCATGACTGTTATGCTAATTAGCAAAGCATGTGTCATCTGTTGTACTATGGACAACTGACGTGCACAGTGAAGGCAGGAGTATGGCCTTCCTGATAAAATGCTAGCTATGGTGTGAGTTCCTAGATACGGCACATAGGGTATCATTTAAATCAGCACAGATGCATAATAGCACCTGTCCAGAGTGAACATTTTAGAGTAAATTACAGACCACTATAATGGGAAGGAAAGTTAATTAATTAACAGATCAATGGGCTTTGTTTCGCCCCACAGACTGAGCCTGAAATCATAGAGGAAACCAACGTTGACAGAGTTCACGAGCCCCGGGGCTACACCAGGTCTCGGCAGGTGAAAGGCCACTCGGAGACGTCCACGCTGAGCTCCCAGCCCTCCATCGACGAGGTCAGGCAACAGATGCACATGCTGCTGGAGGAGGCCTTCAGCCTGGCGTCCGCCGGCCACGCGGGCCAGAGCCGGCACCAGGAAGCCTACGGGTCAGCCCAGCACCTGCCCTACTCAGAGGTGGTGACCAGCGCTCCAGGGACCATGACTCGGCCCAGGGCTGGGGTGCAGTGGGTGCCGACCTACCGCCCAGAAATGTACCAGTACAGTCTGCCCCGGCCGGTAAGTCATTCGTCCCCCCCACCTGCCTCCACCGTGTCAGGCCGCCCAGTGCGTTCCAGCAGGAGACCCAGAGCAGGGACTTCCAGTGATAAGCTACTCTGGGATTTGGAGATGAACTTGGCTGGGCTCTCCTCCCGTCTTCCACCTACGATCCAAAGCATGGGCCTTTTACTCCCAGTGGGCAAGGCACACAAGAAGCCCTGTGTTTCCAACCATAATATACTTTAGAATGAGTTTCCTTTCCTATTTCATATATTTTAAAATGAATTTCCTTTTCTATTTGATATATTTTAGAATGAATTTCCTTTTCTACTGTCCTTCATGTAAAGGGCTGACGTTATTCTTCATGCACTGGTGGTTTTCTGTACTTTCAAGTGTGAAACCCATTTTAAATGTCAGAAGGCATCTCAGAGCCGCGTGTTAAGGAGTTGTGTAGCCTGGTGGTTGGGAGCATAGGCTTTGAGCCAGGTGGCTTGACTTTCAATCCCAGCTCCACCACGTGAAGGCTGTCGGAATCAGAATGGAGTCACTTGTGTTGATAAAAATTAAAAAAATAAAAAAATAGAAAAGCCTGATGGAGCCGGGGAAGGCCATGAAGGGAGGGTTTTCATGCATAAATGCCTGGTAACAAGAACTATCATGAAAGACTCTGCAAAAATCACAACCTTATACAAAGGCCATTGCAACTTTACACCAAAAACTACTTCTGTGAGGACATCTGCCTAGCAGCTGCCTTCCAGCCTTGGACTGGCGCCACCCTAGTTATTGATCCTTTTAGTCAAGAATAATTATCTCTTCTCCTGTGGACCACACCAAAAAAAAAAAAAAAAAAAAAAAAAAAAAAGAATAATTATCTCAAAACAATTATGCAGTCCTTCTCATTTTCCCTTTAAAAACATTTGTCTTCCTTTTTCTCCCTGAAAATGCACATAGTTGACTATGGCATGCATATTCCCATCGCAATGTCCATTCCCAAATAAATATCATTTTTTTTAAGGGAGCCTCTCTCTCTCTGTCTCTCTGTCTCTGTCTCTCTGTCTCTCTTTCTCTCTCTCTCTCTCTCTCTCTCTCTCTCTGTCATTTAGGTTGACAAACAATTATTGGCTTTATAACTTGGGGAAGTTACCTAAATTCTCTATAGGTGAAAATAAGCAAGAAAACTACCTACTTCCTAGAGTTGTTGTAAAGGTTAAATGAGTTGATATATGTGAGGTACTAGAATGCCAGGTACAGGGTACATGCTATAGAAGTATTAGTCATGATTATTTCATTAGGTAGCAATTGTACTTCCATATTTGAGAAAGCACCCAATGACAAAAAGCTTCCATGATTTAAATTATTTTGTTTGCATTTCGTTCATCAAGATAGCAGATATCTTTTTAAAAAGACGTAGTTTTGTAAACCCTAGCCTATAATAGACAATGCTTTGGACATGTATACATGCCAGATTCTGGGAATCTGGGATGAGATCTGGGTTTCAGAGAGAAAAGTGTGGACAACCAGGACAACGTCTTCCAACCAGTGGCAGGCAAGAAGATGTGACGACCCATATCCATTACATCTCAGTTTTATAAAACGATCTAAAAAATTCATTGTGGGACATATGAAAACTTAGATGGTTATGTTTGTTATAATTGACGGCAGGCAAGTGTGCCAAAAAGGGCAAAAACATCAGCAATATATATATATATTTTTTTTTTTAAATGAAGCCACCTAAAATGGAAAAGGACTGAGAAGTAACACAACAAAAGGTGGGCCATCAAACCAGAACAATATTAAAGGGAGTTCTTTGTCATTAAGGTTTCCTTCTTTGGCCCCTATTTTCATGATAGGAGAAAATAGCTAACAATATACAGTAGTAATGATTCTTAACCCAAGCTATGGTTGAGTTAAGAATGGTCCCTATTTTCACGATAGGAGAAAATAGCTAACAATACACAATAGTAATGATGATTTCTTAACCCAAGCTCTTACTGAACCCCTTATGCTATGATAATGTGGAAATCAATATAAAAGGTGGCAATTTAGAATGATAACTATGATTACTTTTCATCTTCTAAAAAGGAAACTCTTCCAGCTCTGCGGGATAATTGGAAGCTGGTGGTTTAAATGCACTAGGCCAGGCTGAAGGCATTTATATCATGGGAAAGGTTATTGGTGGCAGCCCAGGATTTCTGCATTACAGTTTAGGAGACTCTTGATCATATTTATGCCTTGAATTCTATGAAGAAATTGGATTCAACACCTAATGACCAATCCAATTTTGCTAGTGACCATAATGGATCTGTGCCAAGTAGAATGAAAACATCCATCTGTCTTCCATCTTCCCATCGGAGACAGAGTAGGGATTTGAAAAAGGCAAGGGCTAAACCATCTTTCCCACTAGACTCTTATAGATGAATTCACAGTAATAATGATAACAACAGTTGACGTCTATTGAACTCCTGTTTTTTACTGGACACTAAGCTAAGTGCTATATAAACATTATCTCTGCTAATCCAACAATCCCCCCACCATGAGCAATATTATATCCCAAGGCCAGGCATGGTGGCCACACCTGTATTCCAGAACTTTGAAGCTGAGGTGGGAGGATCACTTGAGCCCACTAGTTTAAGACCAGCCTGGCACATGGCGGGTCTGGGACCAAGCACAGGCTTTCACCTGCCACGGGTGGGGTGGGGTGGGGGTGATTACAGCTTTGAAGCCCAAATTCTCAGAGACACAAACAACTGGGGCAGGGCTTAGATGAAGAAAACAGAAGACAAAAGAACCAATGTATATGGGAGCTGTATATTCACAAGGAGAATCATTTTGGCAGGACAGGCCTGCGGCTCTCAGCCTTTTTGGGCTTTAGTAACGAGAGCAGGGCATTTTCTAGATTGAAGAAACTAACAATAGATCTTTTAAACTTGCTACTGAGCCGCCGGCAAGAGCTTGCAGGTAGGGCCAATGGGTTTTGCTGACTGGAGGTGAATCATGTTGTGCTTTGGGCTTTGTTCATTAGGCCAGTGGCTGTTTCCATAGAGGTAAGACTGCTGTCCATATAGTCATTAGCAAAAGATCCGAAACCTCTTGGGCGCTTCAAGTGAGTCTGTAGTCCTTTGTAGCAGGTTAGACAGAAGGAGGAAGGGTTACCTGGGGTAGCAGTGTGTTCATGGTATGTGACTAGACTGTCCCCGGCAGGCACAGCCTTGGGGGCTGCAAGGTGGCCTCAAGAAAGGCCCCTGGTGGGGTGGGGGTTGCTTTCCTTAGGCAGTCACGGCTAAAGCAGATATCTTTTTTAGCAAAGTTGAATCTCCTGTAGCTTTTTTTAGCACTGGTGACTGGAATCTATTTTGCCTGTAGAGTCTTTGGTACTACAAAGCACCAATAAGGATTTAGTTCAAATGCAAGTCCAAGCCTGGAAAGGCTCTATATGAGTTATCTCAAATCCCACCCTGCATTCAGGCCTAAGGAGCAAGACCAGTAGGGAATCACTCTTTGAA